TAAAAAAAAAATTAAATATGGAAATTGCTGTCTAATGGAACTTTACAAGATGTTGAAATTTGAATTTCAAAGTGCCTTTCGAATGGAACCGTCATCTCTCGTGTAGATAAAATCTTTTACATTTTTTTAGTGTGATCTAAGTATGGAATTGCTGTAGAATGATAATTAATACTTTAATCTTCAATGGATGCATTAGGTGCATTATCCACATTATCATCATCGTCGTCGTCATATATATCATCACTGTCTGTCAATTCATGCTGGAAGGTTCATCATTGTGCAACTCACCAACTCGTTCGTCACCCATAACATTATTATTTACAATTTGTGTACAATAATTCACTGCATTTTGAATTTGATCATACCTATAAAAATAATAATATAAATATATTATATATATAAAAAAATAATTTTAAGAAATAAGAAAACATTACCTTATTTACCTATCAGTTGAATCTGATGGAAAAAATTCAAATGATTGAAATTTTGGCTAGACTCTCCCATAATGGTACACTTCAGTGTGAAATAATGATCGTCTTGAAGTAATAATCATGAGTATATATATTGTTGTTTATGAAATCGCTATGTGAAAAGCAATATTTAAAAATACTAAAAAACAACTAAAATCGCTACACTAACAGCGATTTAACATTTAAAAATAATAATAATTTAAATAAAATCGCTGCCACTATTTAATTAATTTTTTTGAAAAAAAAATTGGAAAACGCTGCTAATGCAACAATTTTATTAATTTTTTTTAAAAAAATTGGAAAATCGCTGCATGTGCAGCGACTTCGCTGTTTTAAAATTAATTTTTTTTAAAAAATAAAAAATAAAAATCGCTGACTTGGAAGAGACTTTCTTAAAAAAAATATTTTTAGAAAATCGCTTTCCATTTAAAAAAAAAATTAAAGAGGTAGCGATTTAAATTTTTTTTTTTAAAAAAAAACTTCTATAAATTGCTGCCATGGAACCGATTTAAATTTTTTTTAGTAATTTAAAATTTTCTTTAATTTTTTTTTTAATCGCTGTCTAGGCAGCGATTTTCATATTTTAAATTTTTCTTTAAAAATAAAATCGCTGCCTAGGAACCGATTTAAATTATTTTTTTTTAAAATCGCTGCCTAGGTAGCGATTTTCATTTTTTTTAAAAAAATATTATTTATAAAATCGCTGCATAGGCAAGCGATTTCCATATTTCTTTAAAAAAAATTATATAAAGATTGAAAATCGCTTCCTAGGCAGCGTTTTTCTAAAAACAAAAAGTTTGTTTTAAAAAAAATTAAATTTATAAAAAAATAATTATTTTTTTTAAAATATGAAAATCGTTGCCTAAGTAGCGATTTCAATTTTTTTTAAAAAAATTACATTTTGCAAAATCGCTGTTGTTCCAGCGATTTTGTCGTTTTGATTAATATAAAATTTCATATACCATTTTGAAATTTTTGTTAATATTTTGTACCCTTTAGACTCCGAACTCCTATTTACAAAGTCTACACAAGCCTAGAGTACAACATACACTAACACTAATTCTTTGGACTTTTATACATCTATCTTCATGGTTAAAAATAGTTACAATTGGAGCTAATGTATAAAAAGTATACATTATATATAAAATGGTACGCAGCGCTATTATGTAGAAGTACCATGTCCAGTCTTAGACGCAATAAAAGACTCTTCAAACATTCAACGATAACATCAATCAAAGAAAAGACGAAGAGATGACCATAACACTTCGTTTGTAAATAGTCTTCAGTGATTTTGATTTCACAGTGTTTGGTGAGAATTTAAAACGACTTGAGATGCAATAGATTCAAAGTATAGTGAAGTCAATAAAATTCGCGTCGAGAAAATAATAATTAAAAACGAAAAATTATAGCAACAATCAATTTATTATTTCAAGTGTGAGTGTTACAATCTCTGTGATTCCTCTGAATTCGCCTTCTCAAATATGATTTCAAGGGATTTAAAACTTGATTTTGAACTTGAGACTTATCTTTATCTTGATCTTGATCTTGGACTTGAACTTCAACTTAGACTTGATCTTGATCTTGAACTTGAACTTTATCTTGATATTGACTTTCTAGTTGAATTCAAGGGCTTGGAGCTTGATCTTGAATTCGGTGGTCTTGATCTTGATCGTTCTTGAACTTGATCTTGACTTCTTCAAATCTTGAACTTGAACTTGAGCACTTGAATTCTTCAACTTGTAGAGAAATTTATGGCTTTTGATCCACGAGCTTTCTTTAGTTTCTTGTTTAGAATTCTCGATTCCCTTTTTCTAATTATGAGACCCCTATTTATAGTTTTAGAATAGAGGAGTTGTTATTAGAATTAAATTCCCTTCGGCCAATCAAATTTAAGTGAAATATCATATGAGTTTTATGGAGAGGGCTTTAATTAAATTTATATTTTATTTGAATTTAAATAATTAAATCAATTATATTAATTCATAATATTTATTTGAACTAATATGTTCATTAATTTATTATAATCCGAACAACTTTATAAATTTATGTTTAATAGATTTTATGTGACTACAAATTCCCCCTTCTTTAAGTCTTGTCGAGATATTTTATCTTTCAAAGACTAAGCTTGAAGAATTTGAAGACTTCAACTTGCATACTTAGAGAATTTAAAACTTCATCTTGAAACAATTTTATTCATAAGGGTTTGCCTTTATTGAGTCACCACCATTTGGTGCAAGTTTGAAGTTTTATGAAAGCTTACCCATAGCTTTAACTCATGTAACAGATCAAGTGGAAACATTTGGTCTCTTGAAACTCATGCAACTGAACTTAGAATATGGTTTCAAGTGCCTACGTACCTCAATGAAGAGGATCAAGTTGCAACGTAGTTCTGGAGGAGTGAGTGATTTTTTTGCTGTGTCGTACACAGTTTATAATCTTGCGGGCCAGTAATGACATGCAGTTTAGGCTCGTACCTTAAGGAGCATGTTAACTTGAAGATTTAGCTCGAATTTAAAGAGCTTGGTGATATACAGTAGACTCGTGTATCAAGGAGCATTCCAACTTGATGATTTAACTCTAACTTGAAGATTTATGTGACATACAGTTTAAGCTCGTGTTTCAATGAGCATTTCAACTTGAATATTTAAGTGGCATACAGTTTATGCTTTTCAATGAGCATTTCAACTTGAAGATTTAACTCTAAC